CCCCCCCCAGCAGCAATTTGGGGGCCCCGGGGGCCCCCACCTCCAGCAGCAATTTGGGGGGCCCCCCCAGCAGCAGCAATTTGGGGGCCCCCCTTCAAGAGGAGACAGTTGAAGAGACCTCGAGGCCCCGAAGAAGCAGAACTTGCAAACGGGCGAATCCAGGCCCGCCCGCTGCTGCTGCTGCTGCTGCTGCTGCAGCGGAACCTGCTGCAGCTGCTGCTGCTGCGGCGGAGCCCGCCTCCACTGCTGCTGCAGCGAAGCCTGCTGCTACTGCTGCTCCCGCTGCTTCTGCTGCTGCTGCTGCAGCAGAACCCCCCTGTGGATTGCCCTCGGGGGGTCCCCGGCCACCTCAGGGGGTCCCCCAGGGGGGCCCCCCGGCGATGGCCTGGGGGCCCCCGTAAGCCCTCGGGATTTGAATTAGTTGTTTTGAAATAATTTTATTTAAATGGAAATTTTTTAAATTTATTTGTAGTTTATTCTTTTTATGAGCAGGCGCGTGCTGGTTGAAGACTTATTTATAATCAATAAAATGAATTAAAAACTAGTTAAATTAATTAATTTAATTAAGTAATTATTTTAATGAATTAATCGATTTAATTTATTAATTAATTAAACTCCACGTAAAAGAGGCAAAAAGGGGGGAAAAACAAAAAACCAAAAAACGATAAAAAGGATAAAAAGACGGAAAATGGCAAAATAAAGGAAAGTAAAGACAGAAAAGGACAGAAGACAAAAAGAGATTTAAAATGTAAAGAAAAAAACTTTCAAAAGGGGAAAAAAAGGAGAAAAAAGACAAAAGAAATATTAAAATTAAATTATTTAGGCAAAGACCCCCCAGGGCCCCCAAAGAAAAGCCCCAAACTTTAACAATTTTAAAGTCCACAACTTCTAAAGAAATTCCCTAAAGGGGGGCCCCCCGACACAGGGGCCTCCCCAGGCTTCTGTGGGGGCCCCCCACCTTCTAGGGGTTTAGTACCTTGTTAGGGGCCCCCTTAGGGGGGCCCCCTCGGAACATTTCGGGGCCTACAGCTCACCTGGGGGCCCCACAGGGGCCCTTCAAGTCCCCTGGGGCCCCCAAGTTTTGCTGGAGCCCTCAAGGGGAGGGCCCTACTCTACTTTTGAGGCCCCCCAACAGCCTTGGGGGCCCCCTTGGGGGGCCCCCTTGGGGGCCCTGCTCCCTCTTTAAGGACCCACCAGGAAGAACCCAGCAGCGCTGGGGCCCCACAGACAGCCTAGAGAACTTCAGAAACACATTGGGGCCCCCAATATCAGATTTGGGGGCCCTTAAAACAGATTGGGGGCCCCACAAACACATTAGGGGGCCCCAGAAACATTGAGGGCCCCACAAACAGATTGGGGGCCCCAAGAAACAGAATAGGGGGCCCCCATACAGCTCTGGGGGCCCCAGAGACAGGCTGGAGGGCCCTATACGCAGGTTGGGGGGCCCCACAGGCAGCTGTGGGGCCCCATACGCAAACTAGGGGCCCCACCACCGGACTGAGGGGCCCCACAGATGCACTGGGGGGCCCCCGAAGCAGAATGGGGCCCCCAGATATGCATAGGGGGCCCCAAAGACACGGTGGGGGGCCCCACAGGCACACTGGGGGCCCCACAGGCACATAAGGGGCCCCTTATACAACTGGGGGGCTACTGAACAGCTTGGGGCCCCAAAGGGGCCTCCC